ATAGACTCCAAAAATTACCAGTCTTGAAATCTCTTCCTAGAAGCCAATATGTCTCTACATTTCCTTACAAGTGTCAAAAATTAAGAGGTGATATTAACTAAGTGGATGAAGATAGTTGAGCAACTTTCTGGATTAGCGATGCAACTTCTGTTAAGACTTCATTCCGACAGATGAAGACCACTACACTGGTCTGGGCATTCCATAGATTTCACTTGTATTACTTTCTGATCACCATGAGTGGTTCTTATGATACTTTTGCTGAAATTAAGGATAAACTTCTTGATCAAGCATCTTCCAAATATCCAACAGATGTTTATCTGTCTAGTGCCTGCGACTAAACGATGAAGCTTACCGACATTTGACCATCACTACTTAGCACTTTGCTACATCCTTTATCAAAATAAGATGTCCACGCAAGCAAATGGTTTGTAAATTGCCCTGAAAAATCCCACGTCATGCGATGTATGGATACATTTCACGTCATAAATACCCCGATAGCTGCTACCCCGAATTGGTGGTCAGGCTTGACCCAACAACATATGCTGTTAAAATACTTGTTCCCTCGAGGTCCCAAAGTTCCAGAAGAGTCTGTTAGATACTGGTCGTTGTAGTGTTAATTACTATACCATGATGGGGTTCCGAGGGCGAAGTCTTACTGCTGGATAGATGGGCTGTGACAGCAGTGGGTAGTTTCCCTGGATAACGACCAGTGCAAAGCGGATGCTGCCTTCTCAATGGGAACAGAGGGTTTGGAGAAGAGGAACTTAAAATCAGCACACTTCTCCCTGCCACACTGTCCTCCGTCCGGGAGGTATGGGTTCTAAATATCCTATGTAACAACAACCAAACCTCAAAACAACATCCAGCAAAAAGCACTGTGGAACAAACCTCAAGTGGGCATCTCATAGGCTATGCGGCCACACAATTTTTTTTCTGTTATAAATAGCTTAAGGAATAGCCTTCCGCAGTGTGGGCAGCTGTGAAGTGTCAACTACCCTTACGCTCGCAGCAGTAAACAAGACCCAATCAAACACTATCCGTCATCCTCAATTTTGTCTCTTTCTTTGTCTTCACCTCCTGATACTAATACTAAGCCCCTAACACTTTCCCTAATCTCTGATCGTGAGACCACTGTCAACGAGCTAAACCATCGAAATCTCATTTCTAGTTTCCTAAGACCCTACCATCGATTTCACCTAGTAGCTTTCAAAGTCCGAACTCTATGCCAAATTGGACAGTAAGCTGCACTCGCCAAAACTCTGGAATATCTAGTCATGTATGTGTGCTGTATCAGTGAGATACGTATACAAGACCTGAGTGTGGTTATTAAACTGACTTTACCTGGTCATAGTAGTGAATCTTCACAATCCCCATTACGAGTATTCGGCGACCCAGTGACCAGCTTTTATGGACTCGTTGGTGTAAGCCTAGCATTCAGCTATAGGACGGAAAGTGAGTTTATCGACCGGATAGCAGTAAACAGTCATCTTTTTGCTGTCCGACTGAATGGATCTGTAAGAACTAGGAAGGTTCGTGAGACCAGCCAATGCTGATTCGTAATCTCCGCCCATGCACCCACCAACTGCAGTTCGGATGCTGCAGAGGATGAATTCCATGAAAATTTGTCACCTTGCTACAGAAAGCAAAACGTTTGGGTGTAATCCTAATAGTGGGTGACTTTGACGCTGAAGTAGGAGAGATGAACTAGTAGGAAAGCATCTGAGGGGAATTAACGGAATTCCATGCCTACAAACCGACAACAGTCATCGTCTCTTGCACTTTTGTTCCGGCAATCACCTGTTTTTAGCCAGCACGAACTTGAAGGATGACGACAGGTACTGTCTCACATGGCGTCCGGTGACATCAAACCAACGATGAATGCAAATACATAATATTGTTGTAAGCCAACTGTGGAGGATTTCTGCTATTTCTGGGCCAACGGTTTGGAATCCAACTACGCACTAGTACGAGTTCGTGTACGCTAGTGCCTTACTAGTTGCAGGAAACAGGCGACAGTAAAGCCTTTTCATGATCGACTGGAAGATGAGGACACCAATTAAGTATTTAGGGGGGCAGTTAGCTAAGCATCTATCTGAACGTGACACCAATGCTGTTTCTGAGGAAACCTGGCATTAAATAAGCCTTGTATAGAAACGTCGGCAGACACATTTGACAACTTACACCCAAGGGTTAGCAAATGTCATCGGACTTCTGTAACGTCATCTGAACCCATTGATGCGAGAAGACTGATTGCAGTTAGCTGTGAACACAATGAGGAGCGAAAGCAGCTTACATGTGAATTGACTAAGAGTCTTGGCAGTGACCAGAAGCAGTTGTGGGTGGTGAAGGTGAGAGAGATGGAGAAGACATCCATGTTGGGTAATGTCAGGCAACTATTTATGCTTATTATTGATACTAACAATAAAAAGATGACCGTGATTGAAACCACCATCGAAAAAGATGGGACTCTGGTAACCTCCCAGGACATTTGGCTAAAACTTTGGATGGAACACTTCAAATCACAGTCCAAGTGGTTCTCAGGAACGTTTCAGTTGCCCAACATTTAGTTTTAACCTGAATAAGACGTGGTTATCAGTCCTCCAACTCTTTTTAACGTAGAGAAAGCTGTATAGGACTTGAAACGATGGAAAGCAGCAGGACCTGGCAGTTTACCATCCCACGTTTCCAATGATGAAGGTAGTAAATTGCTAATTAAAATGACGAGGTACTATGTAGTGTATGAGAATCAGAGACAGTGTTGCCGGACGAGCCTGCTTCACTGACCATACCAGTCTACAAGAACGGAGAAAAGTCCTATTTTGACGACCATAGGGAAATTAGTTTAACCAGTATTGCGTTGAAGATCCTAGAGTGCATAGTTATAGAACGCCTAACTGCAGCTCAAGAGCAGCGAACCCGAGGAAGCCATGCAGGTTTCAAACTTGGACGAGGATGCATCGATGATGTTTTTACTCGTTAACAGCTTCTGGAACAAAAACGTACCTACTGATCACTGGTCGAAATGCCATATTTTTGACCTGAAAGCGATATTTAACTCTGTCTGCTGTGAGGTGTTGTGACAGCCTCTGACTGCGAAGAGGCTACCAAGCAATATACAACACTTATAAAACCTCTCTACTGGAACACAGCTAGACGTGTCAAGGCTTATAGAGAGTTGTTTTCAGAACTGACAACAACTATTGGTGTTAGCCAGGGTTATTCATTGTCACCTTTCCTATTTAACTTCATCATAGACATACTAATGAACATAACTTAGATACGTCTGACTTCACAGGGAAGCCATCTGATTAACTTGAGGTATGCAGACAATGTTTTCTTGCTGCCTGAGGATGCCGACATTACAAAGTGCAGGATCTTCTGGACGCGCTCAGTAGAAATCTGAGCATGTTTGGCATGCGCTTCACACCTGTCAAATATATGATGGTGCATAGCAGCTGATCTCAAACCACCCGCAGTTTATTAGTAGGCAGTGAAGTGGTCGAACGTTTCGACCCTTTGAGATTCGCATTAGCTGAAACAGGCTGGTTGTTGATGGAATCTCAGCTCAGATATAGAAGAAGAGCTTGGCATTTCCAAACTTGCATCATCTGTGACACCGAATGGCAACATATCTGAATATCAACCAAAACTAGTGTATAATGCGCTATATTGCTACCTATCCTGTTTTACGGCTGTGAGACATGGTCTCTGACAATGGAAGACACGCAACGATTACCGAGTTTTGATCGTACGTGTTTCTGTGAACAGTGTTGAGATCGGGCGAAGGGTTCCAGGGAAGATAGGCAGGTCGATTCATGAGGTCGTAAACCTTAGTTGGTTGAGATGACTATGACATGTATTGTGCACTCGCGTTATCGCCTACCTCGACGTCCCATGTTAGGGGAAACTCGACTGGGTTGGACAAGATTTTAGGGTGGCTAGACGTAGATGGGGTATCAGTCAGTGGAGTCCTTTACTGTTGGTTTGATTCCTTTCCGGACACAGACTGCTTGGTTGGGGTCTTCTAGACGATAGGGATCACTGGTTGAGGAAGCTTGACAATATGGCCTAAAGTTGGATATTCACATTAACCGTTATCTTCAGATTTAAGTTCTGTAACACAACCTTCACCACTTTGATATCACTCTTTTTCTTTCCACCTGTTCTTTCTGTACTTTTTTGAAGTATAGAACCTTGGGCCGGTTCACTTGTGTACAAGATTCAATGTTGATTTTGTCAGTCAGTTAGTCAGTCAGTCTTCATCAACAGTTATGTCCATTCTCAATAAAAGAGAATGAAAAGTAACTGCGTAATCTAATTAACCTCTCTTATTCACTTGAACAAGTTACTTAAAAATAAATTTATTTTACAATAGCACAAATATTAAAAAATTTTACATAATGACGACTTCACCACGCTTTAATAAAGGCTTTCAGTAATTGCAAACAGATACGTCATTGCTGGTGGGATATTACTTTTCCAGAACGTAAATAAGGTAAATAAGTCGTGCCTGAGAAACCACTGTTAATGTCATTAAGAAAACATTCTGAGTGAATTTGGATGAAAAACCATATCACTTAAAACTTGATGATATACTATTTAGCTACACTTCACTCATCTACAGTTATGTAGCAGTCTTAATCAAAAGTAGGTTTTTTTGCAGTAAATTGCGTAAAGTTTTGAGATCCTTTTGATAGAAATAGCAGTCTTAAGTAATTCTGAAGTTGAAAGATCTGCTTTCAGGTTAGTTGACCTGGAAACATGAAATACAAACATTATCGCCACATTTTCATAACAGCAAACAATGACATCACTGTCTTAGTATAAGACATCTCACCATCCAGACCTGAGTGCAGATACCAAATTCTACCTGCATAACTATGACTACACTCAGGTAATCTCTGGTATACTATGTGGCAGAAATTAGCGTATAAATTCCACTGTGTGATGGTGAAGAGATGTGAATAAATACATAAAGCATTCACACCATAAAAACTTACCATTTATATTCAATTGGGTTTTATTTCCTGAAGCGATGCTTGAAATCTCAGTGAATTCATTATCTGTAACTAGTCCGTTAAACACGTCCAAATCGTAGTGTTCATTCAATTTTTTCAGGTTCACATCTCTGGTTGCACTCACAAATCCAACTGCTCTACGGTCAAACTAAAATTTATATTAGGTTTTCATCTCTAACTAACCTCTACTACGATGCATCTCATTTCGTCACTTTGAGCTTCGATCAGCTCTGAGACGTAATAATCTCCATATGTCTTTCGAAGTATGTCCGAGCTAGCATTGATCATTGGCGTAAGGTCATCTGTATCTTCCACGCTGAAAAGTGAATTTTTGTTACTCTATGTCTTACGCTGCTGAGCGAGAGAATAGAACCGGAAAAATATCATGTCTGTAAACACAGTATGCATCACTTGCCACTCTCCTTTTCTTAGAGAGTTTGTGGAACGGCGGATAATTTATGCACTCTTCCTTGGCAAATGGACATTATATGATGCAAAACAATTTACTAAGATTATGGTCAACCTCTAATAAAACGAATATATGATGAACCGAAGAAGCAATGAGGAACACTGACTTCAGAAGTTGGTTTAATAGGAACGTTTCGCGATTTGGATCGATTAAAAGTAAGTGAAGAAAGAGTGAGTTCGTGGGTGTCAAATTTTTGATGCAGTAGGTGGTAGTGAAGACAGAAATCCAGTCATCCTGTGGAAACTCGTTGCTATTTGGATACTCATAAAAGCAGACATTCCCCGCCAAATTATGTTCATTATCAGTAATACATAAGGATAAGGTTGATCTCTCACTAAATGAAACGGTTAATATTTTTAGCTATCTAATCGATAAATACATTAGCTTAACCAAATTTAGTTTTCCGAATCCTTTGAAATCGACTTCATTCTTTAGTTTTTCTATTTCTTTCACGTCTGTCAAGTCGGTTCTCCGTATTTGGAAAACCTCATCAGTTCTTTGCATTATCAAAAATGTTCTATATGGTTTCCATAAGCAACAGCGACTAAAGTTGTGCTCACTGTTCCAATAGTGAAATCCAATATCCAACACCCAATACTGATCTTGTGAGCGTAAAAATAACAATGGTTCTTGACCTTCCACGTCTATTTATTGAGTCTATGTCCTTGTTATTTTGGTCGCTTTTGCAGTGGGCAAAGAAATCTCTTCCACTTTCCTGGTTTTCGCTCCGGTGAGATGAATGCTTTTGTGGGTTGGTAATTGTAATTTGTGCCTTGAGATGGTTTGAGAACTATGGATTACTGGGAAGATTATGGGTCTTTTATGACTCCTGTCTGCAGATTTGCCTCTATAAGGATAAGATAGTTGGAAAAGTTGTATAGAACTTACTCGAGAGGTGAAAGTTGACAGTCTGGCTTTAGTTACTGGTGAAGAGTTGGGAGAAAATGCGGGTGTGTCAAAAAAGAGGTGGTAAGTGGTGAATAGGTATGAAGTAATAGTTAGCTGGCGAAGTCAGCAATGTCCTGAGTAGGTCTGTGGTAAGTCATGAAATTACACGACTGAATAACTGTCTTTCAAATGAGTCTAATTAGGGGGCTGTGTCTATGTCCCACAGATAGGCATTCCATGAACAGCATATTTCCAGGGAGAAAGAGACAAGCCATAGACCAATCTCAGCCCTCCGATGTGCTGTTCTGATGGGGTCAGATGGCGATATCCAACATGTTGCGGGCAAAATTATTTGATTGCGCGACATGCGCGGTCGCTGATCTGGTGGTCCATAATTAAGTCACCTCTCTTTCTACGACAAATCTTTCGCCGTGGACACTGGTGATAGCACAGTTTCTCGACATGTATTGGAAGTTGGCCTCGCCTGCTGCATAATTACCAACGTGCACTACTCTGCGCTTCTCCAGGTTGAAGCTAAAACCGTTTTCTGAGGACCAGAGATCAAGCTGCTGCAGGTCATTTGGATTACGGTGCAGTCGGCGTCTACTTCCACTACCCTCCAAACTTTAGTGTCATCAGTGGAGAGGAAGGTGAGCGAGACGATTCGCATGGCAGATCGTTGACAAACAGAAGGAACGGAAGCAATCCCAAGATTACTCCAAGGTTGCCCCTTGATTTCAGTGGTCCCCACTCAGACCGTGTTATGCCTACACTGATACAAAATTGTCTGACTTCTAGGCAAGCTGTGAACCGGGAGAGCAGGTATTTTTTAAAGCCGGCCGTTGCAGATTTGAGAAGCAGGGTTGCATACAGAACACCGCTACATGCTGTAGTTAGATCGATAAAGAAAATATGTGTTGAGTTCCAGTTATCCCAGCTAAACGCCCAATCCTCCTAAGGGGCCAGAAAATCGGTGGTACCCAAACGACCACTCCGAAAGCCATGCCGAGCGTTTTGGATGCCGTTTTTCCTTTTGTGGAATTCTCAGACTTCATTGGCTATCAAGCGCTCTGCTGCCTTGGGAAGTACAGCTGGTCGGACTATTAGTTGGTAGATACCATGACTTCTTCTATCTCCTCCCTTGAAAATAAGTGAGAAGACCGTATATTTCCATCCTTTGGGGAGTCTGCATGACGCTAGCGAGTGATTGATGAGATTAGGGATTGGTTTCGGGAGTACTCCGGCGCAGTCTTTCAGAACGACCTGGCCGACACAGCCATGAGACTTTCCGGGTCGCAGTCTGGGTCGTTTCACTAATACCTTTAACATTGAGGCAGATTTTGGAGAGTGTATTCATAACTAATGGTCTGATCAGTGTCATGTAGCGCCAACTCGGATTCAACGTCTGAGGTATTGAGTTACTCTTTGAAGTATCCACTCGGATATTTAGCTATCAATGAACTCCTTAGAACACCCCAGCTTCGACATGTACTAGAAGTAACTCCTTCGCTAGTGGACTTCTCTTTCAATATGAAGTGGTGCAGGCATTTTGCGTAACTGTGCAACCTCTTCACCAGGTTTTCTGGCAACTAACCATGTCGCTACGGGCTCTTGTGTTCAGCGATTGCGAGTTCTTTTGTAGTTCAAAAAGTCGGACTCGCTGTACGATGAACGCCACTCAAACCAGGCCTGCCTCTAGGTGTGAAGCAACCCTTCCGTTCCTCGCTTTAGCCATTAGGCTCACAATAAAGTTCGATATATCACCTCTGGAACCCTGTGGCTGGTGACTCCAACGATTTTTTCCTTTACCTGCTTCCAGTGTTCGTCCACTGTGATATGGGTCCTTTCTGCGAGTCGTAGTGCATTTTTCGGATAATTTTTCATATTCCCGCGGTTGGTCTCGCTGTGATAAGGGAAAGTGTCACGTATCTCTGATTGCGGCCTCCTTGTCAACAAAGGAGAAATTTACTGTTTCGTGGTCTCTGAGACTTACAGGCGCCCGGATACAAATGTTCTCAGTAGGAAGATTGCCGTTCATCAGGACGTAGTCCAGGTGTTTTGCATCACCGCTAGGCCCCCAACGTGCGGCACGACTCACTCTGCTAGAAACCAGCGGTTATAATCGCACTCCCCAGGTTCTGACTGAAGGATCTCGAGTGCCTTCCGTCTGGGAGTTGATGGACAGAATACTGAAGTCACCGGCAGTGACTGCGAAATTGCAACCTGTGGAAAAAGTCACCAGGGTTATCCTGATGATCATACCCCTGTGGGTAGGAGAGATGGTAGTGGACTGGCATAATACCTAGATCTGGTATTTGATGCGATGAAGGGTGAGGCAGCGCCACGCAGATTCCGTTGGCTGGATAGGAGCCTTTCTCGCCCTTATAAGGGAGCTTGCACAGAAATACAGAGCCCCTCCCACTTCGACCTCTCTGCCGCTTCGGAAGCACCCCGTATCACTGGCATGTATCTGTTTCAGGGATATCCGGCGAGAGCCAAGACTCTGTTATATGCATGACGCCAGTGCCCAAGCATGCGCAGGCCTTCTTATCCTTGAAGCTTACTTTCTTGGTCCCCTAATCTTGCTGCATGCGCGTGTCGCGATGTACCTTATAAGAGGAAAGGACTTGTCGAGTACCTTTGCGGTCTAGGATTGCCAGTTTTCGCAGGATTGGCATGGCTACGCCTCCCGGCGCTTGGCTTTCGGTTAGTGGGGTGATTGTAGTGCAGAAGCTTTGTTGCTCGGTGTACCTGACTCACGAACTTATGCCTAACTGGTTACCAATGGATTCACGGGTTTTGGTGATTGCCGTCTCTCCTCTTGCCTGGTGGGTCTTCGCTCACTTTTACACATCACTACTGGGCCCCCTGCGTGGTCTTTCACATGAACAGCGCCTGTGAAGAGGGCGTATGAATCATGCTGGATGGTGAGTAGTTTACTGCTAAAGACAGGCCCCAGGCGTGCTGGTCCCTGTAGCCTGTTAACGCTGTTGTCGGGGTCCACTGTAAATGGAAGCCACTTCCGTTGTTGTACATTGTCAACGCACCGGTTTTTAACACAGCGGTCGCCTAGTAGTTCCAAGATTCTATGAACAACTATTTTTCTGCTTCTGATTTGATCCCAAACTGTAGATCTCCCCTTTTTGGCAGTGAACGTGGTTGTCGAGCTTGGTCTGCGTTTGGCATCGGAAGAGGGTATTTTCGGCTTCTTTCGAGATGTTTTGATACAGTTGTAAAGGTTATGACTTGTTTTAGCGCATCTGACCACCTGCAGAAAGAGAACACAGTGTCGAAGGGGTGTGGGGGAATCCTAACATCTGGCAGTAGTCAGCCCAAACCTGTATTTCGAACCGTTCTCTCTTGAACGACGACGATTCTGTCGACATATCGGCGCTAGGCGAGATGATCGACTTGGCCTCTCTGTTGCTTGTCTTCGCCACAGATGACACGCACGATTTTCCAGTGGGCTTGTCGTACGCTTTTTCGTGTGTTTTCCCGGTCGTGGTGCATGGGACGCTTCGGCTGTATTTTGTCAAGGCCCCGGCGGACGGTATCGTTTTCCGTGCGCCTTTTGTTCTCTGGAGCTGGATAAGGAATGCAGAAATTCTACCCAATGCGGTCTCCTTGCATTGCGGTGTGCGCATAACTACAGACCTAGCTTCGTTTTCAGATTCTTTTGTGTTATCATTTGGTGTTGATCCTACTTTGTTCGAAGATGTTGGTGGATTCGGTGTGGTGCAGTTCAAAATTTAAAATTGGCTCACAAGCTGCACCGTCTACTTTGGCGTTCCTCACATCTCGGCAGTCCTTCAGCTGCCAGTATGCTGTGCCAAGCTCTTCGGTAGCAGGACCAGTAGCTCTTTAGGACCATTACTATAGGGTGCGAGGAGCTTTCTGCATACTAGATAGATGTGCCAGAACCATTCGCTTATTTGTCTCTTCGTAAACGCATAGTACTGTTGGAGTACTTTTCTGTCACAGTGGATATGTAACCATCGGTGGCGCTTTGAATGCGAATGCCTCATCGACTACCGATATGACCTTATTGCAACTACCCCAGTCATTGAACTCTCCAACCCACCTTCCTCAGAAATGTCCACTTTTTTCGGTGAACTGCTCGTGGCTACCTCATCTTTGTGCTTATTACGCCGTTTCGTCCTTTCAGGCTTAGTATGATCTTTGCCAGGAGAAGAACTGCTTTGTGACACGATGCAGCCATCCTGCACCGTCTGCGTGGAAGCTATGGGTATCCTGTAAACGATGAGCGACCGCTTCCTTAGGAGATCGGCTTTCTGCCTTGCCCTCGGTAGCCTGCGGATACAATTCGGAGTATTATTTCTACGGCAGTGGTCCCCGGTTGTGCGCGATTATTGTATGCCTCGGTGCACCTGACTCACCGTTTTAGACAGGCACGACGGCGTTGTAAAAATGTATCCAATAGTGGTGGAGGGGTCAAAGATTAAATGCGGTGAAAGGACAGAATCGTTAAAGGAAAAAGACATATATTGGTTCGCATTCAAACGCTGGTCGCTTGGTTGTCTGCACCTAACCAACGAGCTCAACTGTCAGCACCGTGTATGTATGTAGAACTAGGAAAGACGTCTCTGGGGTAATGG